ACTTCAAAAATATTTTTTGTTAAATGGTTCACTTTTTTATAATCTACTTCTTTTTGTCTATTATGATTTTTAGACTTTTCTTCTTCTTTTTCTTTGTCTTTATATACTTGTTAGTGCTGTTTTTTTTCTTGTCTTTTTGGCTCTTCTGGAATAATTTTAAGCCATTCATATTTTTTTTCTTTAATTTTTTTTATTGCTGCTTCTTTACTAAACTTATAGTTAAAGTTTACTTCTGTCCAACTATTATCTTTTTTGAAAACTTCTTGAATTGACTTAATATGATAGTTTTCTTGAAAGATCTATTGAGTATATTTCAGTCTTTTTTTTTTGTTTTTTCCTAGTACTATATATATTAATATGTTTGCTTTAAAAGATTTACTCTTGTCACATATGTAGTTTTTTTAATAATCATTGACTATACTTAATTACATCTGTAAGTATTGATGTTTTTTGATTCTTTTCTTTTGCTTTTAGTTTTATCATTTTCTTATCTATATCTTTGATATTTTTTCTCAGATTATATATTCTGTTATCTATTAACATTTTTTGATCTTTTTCAGTTTGTTTTTATTTAACATTGATCCTTTTTTTTGTTCTACTAGCTGATAGCATTTCTGGAACTATATTTTAAGAGTTACTAGAACTTGGTTATTATGCAATTGAAATACTCAGTTTTTTTATTTGTTCTATAACTCTCTTTAGATCTTAGTTTATTTTTTTTTTTTTTTGTTTATTTTTGGTTTTTTCTTTTTTCTGATATAGCTATTTCTTTTTTTTTAACTTCTTTAATCTTTTCAGTTTTTCTTATTTTTGTTTCTTCTTTAGATATTTTTCCTTTATTAAAATTTATTTAAGGATTAAAGGAATCTAGATTTATATCTATTGTTAATAGTTTTGTTGTTTATTTTTTGATAATACTATATAGTACTATGTATACTTTAGCTATTCTAAGTATTTCAAGAATTTGATTATAAAGAAATAAATTCTTTGTTATGATATTTTTTAGATTATATATTGTTAGATTTTTTGTTATATATTCTAAATTATCTGAATTTTTAATATGTTTTGATAAAATCTTATCTAGTATTTTGCTATTTATATATTTACAATTTTTATCTCTGAATTTTTTAATATATTAAATCAAATCTGTGTCTAATGACAATTCTATACTTCTATTTCTAGACTTTTTTGTTATTTATTCATCTACTTAATGCCTATGCTTGTATTTATCTATATTTTCTAATATAGTTATTTGTTATTAAGAATAATGTAATATGTTGTTGTTTGTTGTTATTTATGTTAATAGCTGGTCATATGTTTTAATGTTGCTTTCTAAATCTAATATACTTTTTTGATTTCTCTAAAAAATTATTTAAAAAATTTTTAAAACCAGAAAAAGGTTTATTTTTAAAGACTTTGTTTATGTTATTGTTAAAACAAAGCATTTGTATTTTGTGTACTAAGTCTTTTTTTTTAAAAGTCTAAATAATATTTGTTAAACTAATTTTGTGTTTTCTTAATGTATTTACTTTAATCATATTTTGAAAAAAAAAATTAGTAAATTGAAAGTTGTTTATTTTATATTTTATAATTTTAGTATATTTTAATATACAATAATATATACAACTAAAATTACTAATAAAGATATAAATAAGATTTCACCTTAACACTAAAAAAAAAATCATTTAAATATCAATACATTTAATATTATTAAATTTTTATTTAAACACTTATTCAATATATTTAATATGTTTAAACAAAAACATATATATATTAAATTATAATATTAATATAAATTTAATTTATACTCACTATTAATATTATAAATTTAATTTATATAGTTATATACCAATTATGCTATCTTAATTAAATAATTTTGTGTAATTTTCTAGATAGAGGCCTGCATTGGATCCCACAGCCTGGCCTGATCTACAAAAATTTGCAAGCCGGGCCTGAAGCAAAATTTTATAATTGCAGGCCGGGCCGGCAAAATTTTTTACAACTGTTTTTATAAATTTTGAAAATTTGGCAAAAATTGACCAGCCGAATATTTGCCGATTCAATAAGTTTTTAATTTAGCAGTCGAATCAGCGAATATTTGGTCAGTCAATTTTTGCCAGATTTTCTAGAATTTCTAAAAACAGCTGTAACCCTAATTGCAGGCCAGGGCTCATAGGACTTGGTTGTTTTAAATCAATTTAACAGTTTAAAGGACCTTTCAAAAAAAATAAAACTACGAAGAATAAACAAAAAAGAAGTATATAGAAAGTTTTATTAGGGTTGTAAGACTCCACTATTAAAAATAATCCAAATTACCTTTTTGTTTTAGAGTTAGCATGGTAATAACCAGTGTTGGCAAATAGAACAATAGAACAAAAGCTTAATTTTTTGCATTTATATAAAAAAAATTTTTTTTATTAATAAATTGCAATTATTTAAATATATATTGTTAGACCATTAGTAAAGTAATAAATTTAAAAAATTTTTATATTTAATTAGTAAAATTTAATAGTAAAAATTTACAATAGAAAAATGAAAAAAATGAATAGAATTAGAAGCCAATAGAACAAACATAGTAAACGTGACAACACTGGTAATAACCTAACTCTATCTATCTGCTATCTTTAAAAAGTCGCCATTTATGCTAACTTCTCTAAAACCAGAAATGATCTTGATTATTTTTAATGGTTGAGTCCTATAACCCTAATAAAACTCTATATACTTCTTCTTTGTTTATTTCTTCGTAGTTTTATTTTTTTTTTAAAAAAAAAGTACTTTAAATTGTATAAATAATGTAAAATTAAATTGATTTAAACAACCAATCATATGAAAGTCGTTCTATGAAGCCTGGGCCACAAAATTAGGACTTTGCATATCTCTAGGTTAGACAGTATATGAAAAATTTATTGATTTTAGATGGATATCGAGATATTCTCAAAGTTTGAAAAAAACAATTGCGTCTAACCAGAATGCGATTGTTCAAATAGAATCTCATTATATGCCGGGTTCAAACCCTATACCTCGAACTGGCCAATTAGAAGTCACTGGAAATTACTGGAAATCACTGGAACTTTTCACGTAATTTTTCACTACCAAACTCTTTTTAGCGTTAATACGTACTATTAGCAAGCAGAATCAAGTTTAAATACCGAAGTCATACAGTCAACAAAATGTATAAATAGACCAAGATCTCAAAAAAAATTGGAAAGTTTGTCAGTTGTAATAAATAAGGAGTAATCGTATCTTATACACGAATAGCTGTAAATTTTTATTCCTTTGCTAACATAACTACGTATAGTCGTTGTTAAATGGAGCAGGTTTGTTCAACCTACCCGGATTAATTATAGCAGCAGCATTTATAAAGACAATCAATTCAGCTGGATAAACTGGGTCAATTATTTTCCCGGCTATTTTTGTATACGTATACGTATATTAAAATTTATTAATTATATTAATTACAATGATTATTTGCATATCGTTTTAATAACCCTTTTGTCTCTTTCGTAACTGTAAATCTCTTTGCCGCGTAATTTATTAGTGTACACGTTTTATTATTTGGATAAAATGCAAAGCATTTACGTATAAGCAATTACATATTTTTAATTAGTTACATTGAATTTATAAAGAGGTAATTTAGGTGTAACACATTACTGTACATAATACTGTAATATATATATCGTCTTGATAAGTAATGAAATGTGATAACTTTTAAAATGATATTTACTGTATAAGCAAAGCACTAAAGTTTCGAAGGTAATAAACATTTTATTGATGTCTCGCGCTAACTAAAAACCCAAAGTAATAAAACATGTACACAAAAAATTTATAAAATTTCCGAGTATATTGTACAATCGAGGTCATTCTAGAGCTTTGAACCAGTTTTATTTTTTTAAACAAACATATTCCTTATAAGTAAAATACCACAGATCATTCTAGAATTTTATACCGAAATATTCCAAAAAAGTAAACTTTATAAATACAATTGTAGAACAAACAGGACATTGGTGTTTATTTAGATGTTACACGTAATCACGTAACGGTAATATCATGATTGTCTATTCGGGGATTTTAGGAATTTTGGAAATCACTTTAAAATTATATTGATAAGAGCTATCACACATTACCGAACTAATAAGAAATCGGCAAAGCTAGGTCTAATTGGATCAAAATTTTATAACGATGACGATGGGCTATGCAAATAACAATGACATACATACGTAGTACGTAATTCTAACGTATCGGTATTGGCATGGCAGGATTTTTAAACCATTGGTAAATTACCATGTTACCTAAGCCTTTGGGCAAGCTATCGAATTGTTTGTTAATAACAAGTTTGATAGAAGTCAGAGTAATGTCGGAAGATTTCGGGACGATACAGTTAAACGAACATAAATACAAGAATGATTTATTGGAAGGTAACATCCCGGTAAGTTACTGATGTTTGGAAAATTGTATGGTAATTGTTCTATCTAGGGATGCTAAGTACGTAGTCTGAATTTTGCTACTAGTTGCATAACAGATAATAGGTTTAACTAGTTTAACATCACTAGTTCCGTATATCCCTAAATATGTATACTGTATTTAATTTATATTTTTATATTAAGCTCGATAAATAAAGAAGCAATGACATCAATTACACATACAATATGTCATTATCGGGTAATTCAAATTATAAATATCACAATATACGTCACGCGATTTACAGGATTCAATCATTCGATTAGTAATACAGTGTGCTTATCACATGGATTGATAGTAAATTATAGTAAATTCCCTAATCTTCTCGCATGTTCTGTTTTGTAAATTTTAAGCTATAAATACTGCTTATCGTATTTAATTTTTTTTCAATCAAAAAAGAATAATTTTTTCAATTAACCAACAGAACAAACAAAATATTGGATAAAAAAAAATTAAATTTCAATATCAAAATCAAAACCTATTTCAATTCCAAAAAATTTAAACGTAATTTTATTTAATTAATTTTACCAACAAAAAAAAACATGAGTGCACAACAAGATCAACAAAATTCGAATCAACCCAACATCCCAGGCTTTCCAGGTCTTCCTGGTTTTCCAGGCTTTTTGGTGCCGTTTACTTTAGGTTTTCACCCTCGACACGAACGCACGCAAGCCGGTAATCAAGCAAACGATTCTAATAGTAATAATGCATCCCACGATCAACCATCAAATAATAATATAGACGGTGCACCAAATCAACCATCAAATAATAATTCAGACGGTGCACCACATCAACCATCAAATAATAATATAAATGGCGAACCACCAGATGTATTTCATTTCTTAATAACTGTTATGCCTGGTCCTAATGATGAGGAAAATAATCAGCCTTCTACACCATTTATGGTCTTTTTCGCACCATTATTCATTCCTCCACAAGAAGTTCAGAAACCACATCTTTCTGACGCCGCAATGAACAAATTACCGCTTGTCACTATTACCCAAGAACATATTAATACGAAAGCAACTTGCTCAATTTGTCTAGAGCGTTTTTCTTTACCTGAAACTACAGATGATCAAACACAACGACCAATAAGAGAAATGCCGTGTAAACACATATTTTGCGAGACATGTTTATTTTCATGGTTGAAACTAAATAATACGTGTCCGTTATGTAGATACGAAGTTGTGTAATAATAGACGATGATCAGTAATTATAGAAGTTAATAACATTGTAATATTCTTGACATTATTAATTTTGAAATTAACAAAAAAAATGTATTTGTGGTGTTAAACACCATATATTTTTTTTTATGTTTATATCTTGTATTATAAATTTTTATATATCTAATAAAAAAATGAGCTAGAGGGGTGCTGAGTTGTTTTATTTCTCAGAGCACCACCACGTATTAATTGTTTATAAAACTAAATAAAATTTGTAATGATTACATAAATGATAATGTATAACTTTATAAAGTTTTGTGTGAGCAGTTATAAAATAAAATGACAAGATTTATTTAAAAAGATCAAACCTATTTTTCGAAATAACAGAATGACTATGATTGCGGCCTGCAAAATTAATTGGATAATGAAATATAGTGTTTCATATAATGATGAACCAACAAATTTAATTAACCAGCCTCACCGTTAATATTTAAAAACAAAAGAAAAAATTTAATTAACCGTCTTGCTCGTAAGCATGAGATATTGAAAATAGTTCTTGTCAATTTAGCAATATTATTAAGAACAAATTGATATTTCCACTCCCTTTTTTGATATTGCTACGTTCCTGTTATAGCTGTTTTCAAAAAGATGCGATTTTCATATACACATGTGGGGAATAAGAATGTGAAAATTCTGCTTAGTAAAAAAAACTGATGAGGATTATATTGAATCCAACATAAATAATTTATAGCCGTTTTCATCACCATATCTTGAAATTTCCCAGATTTCCAGAATTTTCAAAGCCATTGCTAATCGGACATTCAATTTTTACTAATCAGAATTTCCCGATTCTTCGATTTCCCACATAGGTATGTAGAAATCGTTGTGCTGTATTTTGTGATTGATCAGTCTCTGCTGTAGAATTCTCTATGGTATTATGATCTGCATTTTTGAAAACGGCTGTAATAAAAATCAATATAATTATTGGGGTTTTGCTTAGGGTTTAGAATTAGCAATATCAACTCCCTAAATTTATTAGAAATGAAAATAGATATACATTAGAAATTTTTTTAAAATTTGTCATTTTGTCTTAATGAAATATTTAAAATAGTATGCGTAAGTATTAGCATTCTACATGTTTGCTTGATCCAGTTTTAAAAGGCTACTTTGTAAAAAAAAATTTGGAAACTGAGTTCAAAGAAAGTACAAATCAATTTTATTAAATTTGCAATAATAAAATTAGTGAAATTGAACAATTATGAACAGAAGATCCTTTTTAATGGTGAAATCTTATAAAAAAAAAAAAAAACCCCTAATTTCATAAATTATCAAAAAATTGCTCGAAAACGAGTCCGTCACCATCAGCAACCATGCCTCTAACAACGACTGATAATGTACAGTACAAAATGATGACTGATTCTTTCGTTGAATCTTTTGAAACCACTGTTTCACATCACCAATTGCACATGTCTATATGCTTTGAATTGGCTCTCGTCGGCCATTACCGGCTATTGCGGTGAAGTGCAAACGAACTTCATGCATCTAGTTTTATAATGATGTCATTGTTGATTTAACGCCTCATACCGGTGATCATTGAAATTCCTTTTGTTTACGTGTCGTACTCCGGCAAATCATGCCGAGGGTTGACGTAAACTTGATATAATCGATAATTGGATTTGAATTAAAAAAAAAAACGAATCTAATATGGGGTTTTTGCCTTGAAAATGACATTATGAGACTATATAGATTTTATGAACAAAATTTAGAAGTTCTAACCATCCAGTAAATCTTTTTATTTTATATTTGTAAAGCTAGATGGCTAAAAATTTAATTTTATTCATAAAATCTACATAGTCCTGTAAGGTCATACGTATAATGGAAATGTAAAAAAAAAAAAAAAAAAAAAAATTTTTAAAAAGTATTAAGTTTTAATTATATTTTTAGGAACAATGGTGTTTTGATATTTATCCAAGTAAAAGCATAATATGAAAAGCCAATTTTGTATTAGCGTTATTCTTCTAATTTTTCTACGTAATGCATATTTTTTGGGTAAAACGAACTAATGTGGATTCTAATAAATAGTTACTATACCAGGTATATGTATATATAGATATTGCATATTCCTGTATTTCATCAAAGTTTTAAGAAATTTTTACACGTGGTTCTCTTTGAAATTATTAATATAAAAAAATCCCGGCTTAAAAAATGGGGGTCCGTGAATCATGATTTATATACTCGTATCGGCCTTTATAAGGCTAGCTTTATAAAAATAAAAAACTCTTAAGAACGATAGCTTTTATCGTTACAAAATACAGATTTAACCATGGTTAAAATTCACGAAATTGTCAAAAAGCGTACGTATTCTCGATCTTAAACTTCTGGTGTAAACTTGACTCACTGATTCTTTTGTCTATTATCTCAGGCATCCTTAACGCAATAAAATCTGTAAACGTACCTGGTGGCTGGAAGGTCGTAGTGGTAGATGACTATTCACTTAAAGTTATAGAATCCACCTGTAAGACCTTTGACATTCTCGAAGAGAAAGTTACTTGTAAAGTATCTTTACTTTTACCTTGTTATGCCTGATGATTACGTTGTTATTCTAATATATTATTATTTTTGTTTTCCAACGTTTAGTGGTAGAAAACCTTCAAAAAACTCGTCAACCTTATCCAAATCTTGAGGCTGTATACATCATTACTCCATCACAGAGCTCTGTCGATAAAGTGATTGAGGACTTTACTAAGCAAAAGTCTTCTCCTTTATATGCTGGCGCTCATTTATTTTTTATATCTCGTAGGTTATATTTCTTTTCTCTATACAAAACACTCTTGTTATAATGAAGCCTTAATACATCAAAGTTTCGATATAATAAGAATTTAGATTTCAGCTCGAAATAATAAAGTATATATAGTATTCCATCTATAATATTTTTTAGTCTTATGGCTTCATTATAATGAGAATCAATCGTAATTTAATGTTTGCTTATTCTCTTTATTGTTCGTTGTCATTAGCTCCTGACGATCCGATCTTTCAAAGGTTGCGTTCTTCTTTACCTCCGAATTTCATCAAGTCATTTGAGATACTTTTCATTGATTTTCATGGCAAGTAAAAAAATTTTTTTTAATATAGTCTGATCGCAATATCAACTATTTGGGAATTATATCTAACATTATATATTTAATTATTATTATTATTTTTAAATTTCGATGATTTCTATTATATTTTACAATAGTTCGAGAAGCACAAGTATACTCTTTAGAATCTCCTTCAAGTTTCTTCAAATTATATTCACCTGATGAAAGCCCTTTGTTTGATGGTGAACTAAAAAAACTTGCCAAACAGGTTAATAAAATACCACATCAATTTATTATTAATCTTGTCAATTTTTTGGTTTCTATTTTTTTGGTCTTATTTAATCTAATAGTTTCGATTTTTATCTTTTATTCACGATAGCTTCTTTGCGTTTGTGCTTCATTGGGTGAAGAAAACCCTTTGATACGTTTTCAAAGGGGAATAGATTCTGATCATCCAACAAAAGCATTACCTTTTAAATTGGCTCAATTGGTACAAGCAGAATTAGATGAGCATGCAAGAAATAAAAAACGTCATTCACCTGTAAATGTTTTTTTTTAAAAAAAAAAAAGTTTTAAGTGACGTTTAATCAATTATTTATCAATTATATTCTTATATCAATTATTCTTATTGTCATACCAGCCACATGATATAAACCGCCCACGAGCTGTTTTATTTATTGTAGATCGAACTATTGATATGTACACTCCAATACTACATGAATTTACATACCAGGCTATGGCAAATGATCTTTTGAAAATAGACAATGGTCAAAAATTTACTTACAGCTATGTTGGTCAGGATGGTTCATCTGCTACAAGAGATGCTATATTAGATGAAACTGATACTATTTGGGTCGATATACGGCATAAACATATGAAAGATTGTATCGATCAGCTTATGACTGATTTCAATAAATTTTTAGATGAAAATTCCACTATTACTAACAAGTAAGAAGATTATATCTATTTTATTAATTATTTTTTTCCTTAATATATATTTTTATAAATTTTAAGCAAAAAAAAAAGCAAGTTCAATTAATATAATTAATATTCTTTGCGTTTAGGGATAAGGCTGCAAGTTTGAATGATATGAAAAAAATGTTAGCAACATTGCCTCAATTTCAAGATTTGAAGGATAAGGTATGTAGATAAATTTTTGTTCATTTATATACAAAGTTTATTATTATTACTTATTGTTTAGGTTTTAATGAATTCTTTTTATAAAGTATTCGGTCCATTTGAATATTTCACAAGAATGTATGAGTGTATTTGAGAGTGAAAGACTCCCAGATATAGCCACAATTGAACAGGTATTTTAAAACATATCTAATTCAAAATTATATTCTCTCTGAATAGTGTTATGTAGTTTATTTAAGTTACATTTCTTCTTCCTAGAATTGTGCCACTGGATACACTCCTGAGGGTCGGCACCCAAAAACACTGGTTGAGGACATGGTGCCATTATTAGATAGTTCCTTTGTTAGGTAATAATAACAATTGATTATATAATTATAGTTAGGCGTTTTTATTTGATCTATTTGTAATTATCTTTAATATATTATTTAATTTATTTAGCACAATTACTAAAGTAAGAGTTCTCATGCTTTACATAATGTATAAGAATGGTATCCTAGAGGAAGATAGACGTAAGCTATTGGCTCACTCAAGGATTTCCTTACCAGAAAATGATGCCATTAATAATTTAACATTTTTTGGGGTTAAATTGATTAGGGTATGTAAGTTGTAAGTAATTATTTTCCATTGTGTAATACATTACGGTTAATCTTAATTGATATTCCTATTTTTTAGTCACCATCGAACACTTTTAAAAAGTCTAAAAAATATAGACAAAAACCTGTAGATCCAGACTGTTATGAGATTTCTCGATATGTTCCAAGATTAAAAATAGTTTTAGAGGTGTGATATTGTTTTTATGAATTTTATTATCAACTACTCCATTTTAATCGTGGTTATTTTAACCAGATATCCAGTTAATTGGATTTAAGGATTATTATTGTTTTAAGGTTAGGGTTATTAGGTTAAAATAAACACGGTTAATATTGGGTAATATTAGCGCCCTTCTTTATTTATCTGTTTAATTTTCATTAAGATTATTCTTTTTTATTAGAGCCATATTAATAGAACAATAGATCATACTGCGTATCCATATACAAGGGATCCAACGGGAGATCCTGATGAAATTAAGGCTTTACCACAAGGTCCTGTTTCTCTAAGAAGGTATGTATATGTTTGGATAATTCCAGCGCAATAAAAATATGCTATACATAATATTAATGTATATGATTGATATTAGTGCCAGAGCTGGATGGGGTAAGAAAGATCAAACTGTAAGTTGATTTTTTTTTGCAGAAATGTTTAAAAGCCCGAGTTTAATAATCCGAAATTAAAAAATTTATTATGCTTTTTTAGACTGAAAATCCTCGTATCATAGTGTTTGTAGCCGGTGGTGTTACATACTCTGAACTCCGTTCTGCTTATGAACTCTCGAATAAATATAGTCAAGATGTTATAATCGGTAAATTAATTTACATTTTATTATTTTGCATTTTATTAAAAGTAGTAATTTTTTTTCGCGTTATTTGTTTATATATAGGTTCAACACATATTATAACACCTCGACAATTCATCGAAGATTTAAAGCATCTTCGCAGGCAGCCCACCATGCACGCACCACCTTCTCGTGCAGGTGCTCCTGTAACCCCAAATTATGGTGGTATGAGTCCAGCATCCTTCTTTAATAGAACACCATCTTCGTCTTCAGCATCTTCAGTATCCTCAGCGTCTTCTGGTGGTTATCATCCACCACAAGGTGGATATTATCAGCCACAACCACAGCCACAGCCGCAGAAAGGCGGATATCCTAAACAGACTGGATATTCACAACCTACTTATTCACAACCAAACGCGTACCCGAATACACAAGGGAGTCATTCATTACCATTTCGTCAAAATATAATTGATAGTATTAATACTAAATTAAAAACTAACAAAAAAAAAGAAAAATAAATGAGAATCTCCAATTTATTTCTATTTTTTTATTTAATTTTTTTTTTTATAATCTTTATATTTTTATACAATAAATATTTTAATCTACTCAGTATATTGCACCAAGTAAATATTTTTTTATGTATTCAATACACTATCGAAAAAAAGGGAGTTAGCCATGCTATTTCATTTAGTATTTGTGATCATTTAGTATATACTGTTCTATATATATTAGAGGATCATTCTGAATTATGATTTATTGAACCAGTGTTATGGTTATATCCATATCAAGTAGTCACAACCCAACTCTATAATCACGCAATTTTACACAAAAAAGATGTGATTATAAATTTTAATAGTAATATGATTATATAAAGTTTTTTCAATCAAAAAATGGAGCTTATAAGGAGGGTGTGATTATATAGGAAGAGGACAATTGTATCTCATAATCTTTTTATTTTTTTTAGTTGTCAAATTACGAAATTGGTCACGAATTTGAACCTATTAATACGTAAAATTTTAAATGAATACTAGATACTTGCAAATGAGATAAAGGTCATTGAAAGGCATCATATTAATTTTAATCTAATACAAGAATCTTGAAAATTCAATCACTCTAAGTATGGTCAAGAAATTTTGAATCATTAATTTCACGATATCAGGAATTTTAGTCTACAATAGTAATCAAACGGGTGTGAAAAAATGTTTAGCAAAACACCCCGCCTATCAAGGCTACCACTAACTACCATCACTGAATCAACAAAGTTTTCCACCAAATACATTGTCTGCAAACCAACAACATGCGAATTCACAGAAATCATAGTCTAATGCTGTGACAGAAAAACCAAAGAGTAAACACGGACTTTTAAATTTGAATAATTTAAGTTACCGATTTATTCCATAAAATTAATTTTCTAAAGTATTACGTTCAAATTATTCATGTAATTGATTAATAACTTCTAAAAATCCTTTCTCAGTACTAATTCTATAAAAACTATTCTATAAATAAATTTTAATATATTTAAAGTTTAAAACTTGGATCAAATTTATAATACAAATAAACACATACTAAGCTTAAAGCAGCAGGTACTAATCTAAGTTGAACAACAAAATAAACCCATAGGGTAGCAAGTGAAGGACATCGACGCATTACTCCATAATAATTCGCCTTATTAATAACCCAAATTAAATGACAACCACAAAGAATTGAACCTAAAAACATAACAAATTGTATCCAATTTTTGTTAACGTTTTTGTTCGTATAATAAACAAAAAACCAGAGAACTAATTAAATAAAAAAAAAAGTGTTTAGTTAAACTATATATTCATATCTGAATTTAAATTTTTATAATTACGTCGACATATATAACTCTAAATCATTATTAATATGTAACGTCAATCGTTTGTTGACAAACACACTTACTTGGAGAAATCTTTATAACTCTGGTGCTAAACGGGATAAACGCAACATCTTGGTTGTATTGTTTATGAACTAAAATGTCCATCATACTATAAACTGCACAAAGTGGAATGGTATATATGAAGGCTTGAAAAGTAAAGCCATAATTAGTTGGATCGTCTTGATCTATTTGTTCACTACGTTCTCTTTCTGCTCCTTTAAGGGTATTGAATAACCCTGTTGATTTTATTAAACGAAGTTTTTCTTCTTCAGGAATGTCATCAATCACTTCATTTTGAGGTTTGTCCTTTTTACGTTTTTGAATAGAATTAACCATTTTTTTTTCTCTTAATCAAGGCCACACACGAATTTTAATCGATTCTTATAACTAAGTGGGTCGGTTATTATGAATCGTTTTTTTTTTTGTTTAAAAAAAGGTTTGTGATTTGTGATTTGTTATAAAGTTTAAAATACTTCAGGTAAGTTTTTTTTTCGTTATGGTTCGATCTGCCTGTTTAATTAATTTTAATGCATAATTCATCAGGGACTTTCCAAATTAAGGGATTTCTAAAGTGGGAGATATTTTATTTAGGTCAGATATATATAGCAAAAATCGCTTTAACATTAATACGTACAATAACATTCTGACCAATAATCAAGACGTCTTGACGACCAACTATCAAAAATCGGTGAGTCAAAACCAGGCAAATTGTTTTTAGTGGGTTTATATTAACGAGAGTCACCTGTATTAAATCTAACTTGATAAAATTTTTTTATTTTAATTCTATAACTACCGTATGCCACTGACTAAAGTACCCCGGGTACTATTCAATTAATCATCAACATTTCTTGAATAGTACACTCCCAGGTACTAATTACGGGGGAGGATACTATAATGAGGGGCATAGTTTAATATAAGGATTCAATTATATATATCTGACAAGAATAATACCCGGGTCTTATTCAATTTTCTGGATCATGAACCTATGAATTGTATCAGGGTATGATTCATGGAGGGTATTATAGCGGGAGGTACTTTAGTCAGTGGGGTACGGTATATAGAATTAATATAAAAAAATTCATATCTAGTTTGGTTTAATAGTTGTTGAAATATTTTAATTTAAAGTTGGAAAAAAATTTGCTTGAAACAATTTGGCTGGTTTATGCTGACACCCTAATATGACTACATAATTAAAAACTTTCGTTAATTTTAAATAGGTAGTTGACGAGATATTTTCAAGTCTAGAAAAAAACCATCTAAGACTGAAAACTTTTTTTTCGATTCTATATGATTGTATAAAATAATAAAATTTTATCAATTTTAGATAGGCTGCTATCGCTTGAAGTTTGGATCAAATATCGTGACCACCTATTTAAAATCTTATTATAGCTTAGAATATTCGAATTTTTAACCAATAAAGTTTTTAATTTTACTATTAAACATCATCTCGTTATTTAATTGGGATGACAATTGTTTTTTTTTTAGGATAGTCTGATTTCACCCAAATGACTTATGGCCCACCCGAAGAACAAGCATTTTTCGTATTCATTATATACGAAAATAACATCCTATGTTATACAAACTCTCATTAGATTTGAATGTACCGTCCTTTTTGTAATAATGATTTGCTCAGTATAAATGCAACTTCAATTTGACATAAGTAAAAATATTTATAAATCAATCCTATGACGAAAGATCAAATATTGCTATTTGACAATTCATTGTATTTGGCAACTTTGTTTCATGTTAATAAATTTAGAAACAATAAAGTTTTTAAAATATTGTCTAGCCTTCCGTAACGACAAGTGTTACTGATTTCTTATATCAATCCAAAGTCCCCCACAAATGCAAGATCTTGTATAACTTTTTGCCCATCGAGGGCTTTGTACCTCGCGTATTGCAGAATAATGCGCACACCTTATAAAATTAAATTAATTTGTTCTTAATATTTGGAAGTGAAAACTTGATAAAATATGATTCTATGTTCATTACCGTGTACAAACTCGGTCTCCAATAGTACGCGATTTGAGAATGATATCGAAAGAAACAGTTTCAATCCATTTCGTATCATATGCATATAGTTTAACTTTATTGACAGTACTGAAAGAAGTTTTGAAAATTTGCTCAATCTTCGTTAGAGTGTCGTGTAAGGATGCAGGTAAAACAGAACGAAGAATAAGCAGGTATTTTTCACGATCGGATATTCCTAAGTTTAAATGTGACGAGTTTGTTGATTTACTATATATTAATGATGAAAGGTGCTTGTAATGTCTAGTATTTATAAATACCTGAGAATATTTCTTCAATAACCCGGCTAGATTCTTGAATGAATGAATCTAATAAATCCAGTTTTAATGGCCATTTGTCAAAAGAATATTTTAATGAACGGTGCATTATTTGTATTATTTTATTTTTCGGATCAGTCGGGTTAGATGTATTAAGTTTAGTGGTGATGTACTTCTCAAATTGACTGATGTGTAAAATTAAGCTCTTCAACGCAGATCGGCTTATGGAGTGATAAAGGAGGACAATATGGGACTTTTTGTTAACTGAAAAAATTATTTTTATATATAAAATGATATTTAATAATTTAAAAACTAAAGTTAAAAAAGATACTACTACTCAATTTACCTAAAACATGTCCTTGGCTCTTTGTGTAGTATAATAAATAAATATTTCGCATGAAATATGCAAAGAAATCCAAGATCCATGATGTTAGACATACGAGAGATTGGAGAGAATCTACGTGAAAGTTAGGTTTCGCACCCAGTTTGATATTATTAAAATTAAAGAAGTCAGAAAAACCTACCTTCCGTAAAAGTCCCATCCGAAGATTTACTATTTCGAAAAGTAATTTCTAAAGCACGCAGATGCATAATACATAAGGTATTCAAATATGTAATATTATCACGTCCACAAGACTTTAATAGTGAAAGCTGTAATCCGAAAAGTCTAATCAAAAAATCAGAGGATATAGTGGATTCAAACCCATTCGGGAAAACGCCAGAAATATTGCTAAAAATTCCAGCTAATATAAGTTCTAATGAATCTATAAATTAATATAAAACATAATTAATCAACAAATTATGATATTTATCATATACTTAATGGGAGGTATTTCTTACCTTTTGATACTGAAATAGCAGAAATATCCGAATGTTTCTTTACGATATTTTCCAAATCCGTATGATCCGTGTTATTTAGTATAGACAAGGTTAATTGATTTACGCAAGCACCGACAACCTGCAACAAATCTAGCATTTAAGAAAAAACGTTTAAGAAACGGGACAGGAAACAAATTTACACAACTTTATGATATTTACCCATCATGTCGGAAGATGCCCAATTTATATCTGCCATATCAAAACAATCGAGTTCACCAGATAGTCGACCACAAATTAATAACGTACCGTTGGGTGACGTGGCAAATTCCGTTATTGCTAGAATTAAAAAAGACATGAGATAGCTTTCAAACAGTATAGAAAATACGTCAAATGACTTACCACTTATATTTAAGACACCCTGCTCATTATGAGGTATCCACGTACTATAAGTGGGAAAACTCCCATTCTTAAATAGTTTGATCACACTTGGCCCAACTTGAGAAAGTACCTGTAACGTGGTGCTATGAAATTAACAAATTGGATGAATTTCTGCTAACAAACAACATGCGTCACTTGGAAATGATATTCTAGACATACAAGAATATCACACAATGCACTGTGTTCATTTCTTACCAGTTACGAAATTGCATCTGACCATTACTGAAACCAATAAAAAGTTCTTGTTTATGAACCCATATATTAGTTACTAATTGTCCGGGCAAAGGTTCACTGGCAACAAAACGAATCTCCTAAAAAAAATGATCATGTAAGTAATCTTAGACAATTCATATAGAATCTATATAAAATTATTTAGTGTTTATATTTAGGCAGAATACCTTACAATGGTCACCGTCTCGTGATGACAAATTACTAAGCTTCCCTTCTGAGCTTGTAGGAGACGCTTGTAGTTCCCACATGACCACATCACTGTTAAAAACGTTGTCTCCTTCCCCGTTATCTTGTAAGACAATAAAGGTATTAATATCTTGTGTAATGTTTGCTTAATTTTAACTAACATTTGATAATTTCTGTTTACCAGTTTTGTCAGCTGTGACGATTACCAATCGAATTACATTTTTCTGGGAATCTAATAATAACTTTAAATGTATAATAGGAGCTTGAGCCCTATCGATAGTAAACGATGAATCGTTTATATGAGCGGTAAGGTGTACATCTGCAATTGGTTGACAATTAATATGCAATTTAAGCATATCAACAAAGATTTCATAAAACATTACAATCTTTTGACAATATTCTGGACAATGTATAGCCAAAATATAACGGCCATCTTAATTGATTAGGATGAAATAAATAACAGTGTAAGTTATTTTCGTGGAGATCCATAATATGATCAGTAGTCATAGAAAGCAAATGTAAAATACCTTGATCAAGTATTATGTCTGCATGTGATATGCGTGATATACGACCAGATATGAACGGCAATTCTGTACTAATTTTTGAAAAATTCTTCTTTCCATCTTGATAACAGACGGAAACCTTTAATCATCAAATCGAAGAGCAACTTAAAATCTATCAAGTCTACAATAAATTACTTATAAATATATATGTCTATATGTTTTTACCTTGCCATCTGAAGTGACTGTTAGAAATGCGAGCTCTCCAAATTGATTTCGCGGACCTTTAAATGTACCCCGCTTATACGTTGCGCCAGATACACGGGAATACTATGTATAATATATAAGGTTCTTATTTGATTCGTGCATTTTCTAAAATACTGTTTCCAAGATGCTTACCACCCGCACATAATCAAGCCATGTGAATTCGACAATACTTCCACCCAGATCAACATTATATTTACAATTCCATTGATTTACAAAATTGTCCATCATCCATAAAGCAATTTTACCTCTTTGATCAATTGAAGCTAACGCAGAGCCGGTTTGATTCCATACTAGATCAGTGATTTCATCATTGTGATGTTTTTCAATACCAATAAGAGGGAATAAATTGCTCTTTCTTGTAAAAGCCCAAGTTGATCCTGTGGTGCCATTGTCTGAAGGAAGCCTGCATGGATTAAAAATGCCAATGTTTGGACCGGAACATTGATACCGAGTATCAAATGCATCATTATTAATAGGCGACCATGCTATCAAATTTTGAGGAGACCACGCGACACGTCTAATACAGAAGAATTGAAATTAGAAATATTATTCACTCATATTGTTGCGATCAAGAACTTAAACTAACCTAGAAGCCTTTCTGTAACATATTTCATGATATAACTTTTCAACTACAAATTCTTGTATCTTTGAAGTCTTAGCAATCGGGATAACATCAGTCATCATTGTTATTAAAGAAGATTGTTCATTTAAAGGAGCGAAGCTTTTTATAATTTAATTACAACCATGTGAATCCTTTAATTTATATTTTTGTTTGATTTGGAGAGTTTGTACCTATTTAAACCCGGTTCGACCCGATTCGAATCAAACCCGGTTTGATATCGAAAATCAGTTTCATTAAAACCTATTGTAATATGAGTTCTGTCTAGTGTCCAGCTATTTTAGCATCTAAAATAGCACTAACGATATTACGACAACCACATAGCGATAACAAATTCAACCAGATTTACTCTATTTTAATTCGATCATAAAATAAGAAAAATTTTATCGAATTTTAATTTGGCTGTTTTCGTGATATCGCTCTAGTGCTATTTTAAATGCCCGACTAACTTAGTCGACTTAGTCAATCGACTAATTAATTTAGTGATTTGATTGTTATTGGTTAATTAGGTTATTGTTTTAAAGATAATAAATAATATATCAACAATATCGATAATAATTTATAAATAATAATTAGATAATTATATAATTATTTATCAATTAAAGTTACTTATATATTATCCATTAATCTTCAATAAAATTAAAAAAAACGGTAAAAAAAATTGCAATGGAAAATTATCAGAATTGGATTCGTCTAGTTATATTCAAACATCATCCATGTCACATATGAAAGTTATTCCAACAACACGACCTGAAAGCTGGGTTTGGACATTTGTTCAAAAGGAAACCTGACAATGTAAAGTATTAATTAAAAACGATAATGGTATTATAAAGAATGTGAATGGGAATGTAAAGAAAAAAACAAGTATTACAGTATCACAAGTCATATAAGAACTAAGCATTGAATTATTGATGATGAAATAATTAGTCTACTTTTAAAAGGTGATAATCAAGCAAAAACTCAAAAAATTACAAATTATTTCTTAAATTGATTTATTGTCTTTTTTTTTGATGTTAAGATAAGGTCTTTATTAATAATTTTTTTTTTTTTTTTAAATATTAAGGTGAGTACTTGCGACTCAGGATTTTATTAATAGTATATTTGGCTAATGGTTGCATTACAACCACAAGTAGCAATTATGAAAAGAGTGTACAACTAGTCACTTGTACAACTTTAGTTATTGTCTAATTTAAATAGTTCACTCAAAGGTTCTATACTAGTTGTTATACCTAGAACCTGCCTGTAGGTTCTCTATTTAACCATTTTAGTTTTCATATCCACCTATTTACCTCTGTCTATCAACAATCCTGGTCAATACTAGTGAAAATATGTTATAGTTACTAAGTTTTTAAAGCAGTTCACTCATATAAAGAATCTTTAACCTTGTACTAAACTTTCCAGAATCTTTGTATCTTATTCTTACAGTTGATCTGGTTGAGATCAACACTGGCAGTCAGGATATACTATTAAACTGCTATGTCCTTATAGAGTTTATTCTAATTCTGATACTGACTTTACAACATATCTCTACTATTTTGATATTCAATTTAAGTTTTATCAAGTTCTCAAATTAGATAATCTGAAAAGACAGATCATAACTATATACTTCTGGTTTACATATTTGTTAGCATGTAATCTTTTTCTCTAAAACAGATCTTAGTAGCCTGATTAGTTCCATTTGGTCCCTTCTTAAAAGTTGACTCTTTGTCTAGTTTCATAAGTTCTAGTTTTATTTTATAGATTTAGTCTTTATAGTAGCATCATCAAAGGTTCAGGTTACTTTTTTATTTGGGTTTTCCAAGTAGGTTTTTATCTTTTTATTTGGTTTTTGTAATTTATATGACCTAAGAATTTATTTTGGATTCATATCATCTGGTACCAGTTTGTATTCCTTCATACAATGTTGTACAAATGCCTAGACCTTCTAATTATGTTGGTATAATACAGGTTATAGGTGTTTTATCCTAACCAATTACAAAAGACAGTTAACTATAATATAGAAAAAATTGCAAATTTTCATCATCGCTAGGATTTGAACTTTAAACCTATACTTGAAAGTTGACAACCTATCCACTTCATTAAGTTACTACATCTCTTTATTAGTAATTTTAATTATATATATTAATATATTATATATTAAAAGTATACTAAGATTGTAAAATAAGGTGTAGTAACCTAATAAAGTAGTCAGGTTGTCAACTTCTCAAGTGGTAGGTTAGGTATTCAAATTCCATCAACAGTGAAAAATTTGGATAATCACCTATGTAATATTCATATTATGATAATTGTTACTAATGATTGGATTAGAATACTTGTAATAGCAGTCACATTAGTATGACTGGCAGGTTATAGGGCATTTGTGTAAATATGATATTACACAAAAGAATGCAAACTGACAAATTAGGCAGTGCAAACATTAGATAAGTCCTTGTGGCCATATAAATCTGTTAAAATTAGATAACAAGAAGTTCATTTAAGAAGATCTAAATAGAGAAGTAGCTGAATCTTCAATGGCTCTACTGTAAAGGCTAGCTCAGAGAAACGAATATCAAGGTTATAGTACCTGGTCATAGTAGCTAAACAGGCAAGAATCTTTGAATTAGAAGTCTTGGAGATACTACCAACTAGACTACCAGAATGAATTGAAAAAAAAGAATATCAGACTAACCTGATATACTGATAAACTGGTTGTAGTTTTATATGAGCTATTTGAATTAAAAGTTTGGTAAAAAGGCTGAACAAAAGGCAGAAATATACTAAAGTATTAGAATTATGCTATGAAGTAGATGCTAGGATCTAAATGAACTCTATAAGAGCATAATAGTTTAATAGTTAGCTTTGACCACAAGTGTTGGTTCTGTCATAGCAATACCTAGATTAGTTATAAAAATAAGTACAAAAGGCTCTAAGAGGTTTATCTCAAAAATAAATTAGTTCTAAGATTGAAGATAATAATCTGAGCATTTGAGATGACTAGTAATGTTAATACAGGTTATAGGTTCAGAGGGTTTAAAGTGGAACACCCAAACAGAGGTGTTAGGTATAGCAATTGATAGGAAATCTTCAGATGGACTCTTTAAATAGGTAATATAGAAAAGTTATATATGTAGCCAATTGTACACTTTCCTGTAGTGGTTTATTGAACTACAATACCAATAAGTGATTAATAAAAGTCAAAAGACAAAGAGATTATCTTAAAAAAAAAAAAAAAAAAAACTAAGATTGTAAAATACAAAATAAAAACTATATGCAAGAATTAAAGCTCAGATAATTTTATTTATAATTTAAATTTATTAAGATAATCAAGGCTCATTTAGATTTATAATATTAGAATATAATTATAAGATATACTATAATTAAATTTTCTTTTTTTTTAAGCAGCTATAGTAGTACTTTATTAAACTATTTATAGTTACATATATAAATACAGAATATTATTTAATTTATAAGTTTACTATTATCTGATTATCTAAACAATATCTAAATATATAGCAAAAAAAAACTCTTTCTGCAAATCTATTGCACAAAAATTAACTAAAAAATCATTCGTCTAAAAACACTTATATCTTTTTATTT